AAAAGTAACTAAGAAGAATAATTAAGTTTGATAGAAGTAATTATTACTAAGTTAAGAGTAGTTAATTAGTATTTCTCTTTAATAAACACACATATTTTATCTTATATCTTATCTTATTTTTTTCTTGCTCTATTGAGAGAGCATTTTGGTCAGAAGTAAAATATGTATAAATTATCTTATTAAGAAGATAATTATATTCTTATTAGAAATAAATCTCATACATATCATCTTATTGAAAAGATAATTAGTCATATAATCTCTTGAAGTTATAAAAGTAGATAACTACCATAAACTAGTACCCTAGCCACAGCAAAAAAAAGTATCAGTCACATGATTTTCTGACTAATATCCAGCACTTGACTATATCACATTATTACAACTGATGCCAGAGTAATGACACACTTTGCAAATCTTTAATTAGCCAAGTCAAGAAAATAATAGCTTTATTATTAGCTTTACTATAATACTATAACATGCTAAATGACTTTAATTTTCTTTTTTTTTAGAATTAACATAATCAAAATGTGAGTTTTTTTCTTTTGATTTTTCAATTTCTTGTTAACTATGGGCTTGTAATATCTTCTGGCACTTATTAACTGCTTTTACTACTGGCTTCAACAAGCTATCAAAGGTATCTACAAAGTGGTCATTATTTATTTCTCATTCATATAAGATAAATACAATTTCCATAGTTTTTTTATAAGAAGCAATCTTTTCTCATCTTTCATTAATTGTATTATATCTTACAGTTATTGATAAGTTAACAATACTTGAGCTTCCTTTTTCAACAAGATTGATTATTGATACATCTTGTAAGTTATCACTTTCTTTATCAAGATTATTCATCTTATATTGAGACCAGGGATTATTTACTGAATTGATTGCTAATACTTTATCTTTTCCAAAAGTAAGTAAAGAATAATTATGTCAACATATTATTTCTGAGAAGATAGACCAGAAATGGATATCACCTTTCTTTGTAACAAGATGCTTGCAGATAAGGTAACAGCTGCAAAGATATGCTAGACAAGAACATATCCAGTTATTTATGTTAACATGATAGATTTCATCCATGTCAGGCTGGATTTTTATGATTGTTGCTTTTCTCCAAACAATTTTAAAACTATCCTATCATGATGAAAATATCTGATTTTCTTTAAATTGATTCATTTTGAGATCAAAATCAGGTATCAATTGTTCCACAAGGATCTGAGTAAGATGGTCTAGACGTGATCGATTATAATTATATTTATAGTTATATTTAAGAACTCGCCAATGACTTTTTGTAATCATGGTAGTTCATGCTAATGACATAGCAATCGGATATGCTAACTGAGAAAAAAGCTTCCAGTCTTTTTTATTATATCAGTTTATCCACAGGTATCTCCACAATTCAGCAAGGTTATGACTGTAGCAAAACTGATAAATTTTCTTCACACAGCTTTGGTAGATCTCAGCAGAGTTCCAGAAAATATTCTTGATTATTAGCATAAGTGGATACATATTTACGTATCTTTTTACTATGTCCAAGAGTTCTTTGATAGAATCTTCTGAACATAGATTTCTAATATTTCGATTTGGTATCTAGGAAGGGTCAATAAAATTAAACTGTTTGTAAATCTCTGAAGCTTTTGCTACAGTGTATACACTTGCTTTTGATTTCTTATCCTTTAACCATTTGCTAATAGCATGCTTAAGATGCCAATAACACAGCTAAAGATTAGTAATATCTGACCATATCTCACTCACGACTGAGATCTCTCCAGCATTTTTGTTAACTAGACAAAATATTGGCAATAGGCCTATTTTTTGAAAACTGGTGAAAAATCTATAGAGAACTTATACTCTCATATTGATTTGATTCTTGGGATTGTGACATACTTATTCAGTACTACCAAATATTAAAAGATATAAGTATGCTAAAGGTATATCATACCCACCATAATTAGCATTTACGATAAAGAGCTCAAAGTACTCTTGATTAGTTTTAAATATAGAATCTACAATAATCTCATTTATATTTTCAATGCCAATATGGTTGAGCAATGGTGTCACAAATCTGAAAGCCTTCACAAAATCATTTTCAATATAGTAAATAATTTTAAAACCTTTTATCATAAATTTGGATTATTCAATATAAGACTTTGCTAATACAAGCTGATTTTTAGCATCCATTATATACGTCTTCTTACTGAAAATGGATACCCAATAGTATACCTGCTTTCTTGTATATACTTCAGAATTGATAAGCTCCTCATTACAAAGATATCTATAAAACTCGTGATTTTGAATATTATATTTAATATTTTCTTTAATCCATTCTTTTGCCTTTATAGGAAACTGGATTCTTCAATGCTAAGAATACGGATGAGCTTCTAGATATTAAACTTGAACTAGAACATGATGTTGTTGAGGGTCGATAGTAAGTATAACATTTCTCTCACAAGCATATCTATTTATTAGAGTTCTGGCTTCACTTATATACTTTACTGATTGATTTTCAGATCTTTGTCATTAACGATTCTCATATTATGTACAACCAAGATATGCTGTTACATGACCAGCGAATCTCTTCTCTTTGCAATTTAGGTGTATATTACATACTTCTCAGTAATACTGAGATCCAGTCTCAATTGTAAAAAGAACTATCTTTACAAGTTGAAGAAAGTTACTCTTAGCTATTTCTAAATCAAATACTTCTGACTGGAGATTACAAGAAATGCTTTCAGCAAGTTGTGAATCTAGCTCTACTTTAAAGATCAATCTTACGGGTTCATTGTTACTTTCTGAATTTTGAAATTTTATACTAACATACTCTGCTACCTCATCTAGGCTATAAAGAAGTCCACCAACATCATTATCATATCAGTTATTTTGAATACCACCTGGGTTTGTTGTTTGCTCTTCAATAGGATCATCTTGCTCTGAAAACAATTCTTTTAAGACGGTGTTAATTTGGAAGACATTAGCACTACTGGCAGTGCTTGTACTTTGAATAACTGCGTTTAGATTAATCTTCAGTTTAGCTTTTTTTTTGATATTGGATTTGTATCAATTTCTCTTTTATTCTTGCATCTTTCATAATAATAGTTACAGGTTGCATACTCATGTGTTGGATTATTATGACAGAAGTCCATCATCATTTTTGCATGATAGCAGCTAGAACATACTTTAAATTCAGAGGTTTGAATAGGAACTATTAAAGGAGATGAGATATATATATACTTTTTTTAATCTTTTTTTTTTAATACAGTCATCATAATTACTTGGGTATTATCTTTAAAATTGCTTCTACTCATTTTGTTTCTTGGTAATATAGCTGTGTTAAATTGTACAGTTTTAATAATATTAGCAAAAATATTTAATTTTAATGTATTTACGCATTTATGTTATAATGATTTACATTCTGAATTATCTATTGTGAATTGCCCCTTACATATGTGCAATCCTTCCACCAGCAGTTTTTTTGGTGAAGATCTGCCATAAAAGTGTATCATATTACTGAATTAATAAAGATAAGTTTACAAGAGACTACTAATTATCATAATCTTTTGATTTAATTAGTAGATAATTATTAAATTTGATTTTTATTTTTTAGTATTAATCTGAAGCTTTTTTTTGCTTGCACTTTTACTTGGGATCACACTTTAGTTTGAATGGTAAGTGAATTTTTTATTTTATTTGGATATTTACAATTATGAAGTTAATTTAAAGCTTTTTATGCAATAAAGATTAATAGATTTGGTACTGTTACAGGTGAATTAGAATTTCGTGGATTTAGGGAAAATTGTGAACTGTGATGGTGGGTGAGAGAGAGCAATTAAAGTAATTTTATCATCTATGGATATTATTTAATATGAATATTTTCAAAAATAATTATGAGATGGAATAAAGAAGATTTCATGTATTGATTTATTAACTAATCTATTTTTATTCCTGTGCTTTTTCTAGCTAAAAGCCTTAAATTCAGATCAATCAAATTATTCGATCAATGATGCATTTCACCTAAAGGACCTAATTCAAATCATCATCTTTTCTGATAAAAAGAGCCTAACTAATATATTAGAATTACAATTCTATGGCACAATTTTTACAAGTATTTCTCTTTAAGAAAAGATAATATACGCAGTTTTATTTTTTATTTTCTTGCGATAAAGACCAATAGATTTGGTACTGTCATAGATAGGTTAGAGTTTCATGGATTTGGAGAAAATTGTGAATTGTGATGGTGGGTGAGAGAGAATAATTAAACTAATTTTATCATTTACGGATATCATTTAATATAGGTATTTCCAAAGATAATTATGAGATGGATAAAGGAGATTTCATGTATTAATTATTAACTAATCTATTTTTATTCCTGTTCTTTTTCTAGCTAAAAGCCTTAAACTCAGATCAATCAAATTATTCAATCAATGATATATTTTGTCTTTTTTGAATTAAAGGATCTAATGAATTCATCATCTTTTCTGGTGGAAAGAATCTAACCAATGAGTTTAAAATTACAATTTTTATGAAGTAATTTTATAAGTATTTCTCTTGGAGAAAAGGTTTTGTACGCAATTTTATTTCTTTTTTATTTAACAGCTATTCATTTTATATATTTTTTTGTTAACTACTATATTAAAAGTGATACTAATTCTAATTCTATATAATTTCTTTATTACATTAATAGGTTGAGCAGTAGTAAAGGAAAGAGTGGTGTAATCTATTATACTGAAGAATATGAATAATTATGCTGAAAAATGCTGGGAAATCATCATGATATATATATTATTGACAGTATGTGCTGGAAAATATCTCACTGCCAAAGCTGCTAAATTAGTCACTAAACAAGAAAATTACAAGCTAATTCAAGAATGCAATACTGATCTGCAAACCAAACTTCAAACTGTCCAAGCAGAAATTACCAACTTACGGAATAAATCAGCAAACTTGAATTAGCTTCTGCTGAAGGGGAAAAATAAGAGGAGGAGAGAAAAAATCATCATGATTAATAGTATTGATAATATGTACTGGAAAATATCTCACTGCCAAAACTGCTGAATTAGTCACCAAACAAGAAAATTACAAGCTAATCCAAGAACGCAATACTGACTTGCAAACCAAACTCCAAACTGTCCAAGCAGAAATCACCAACTCACGGAATGAATCAGCAAACTCGAATTAGCTTCTGCCGAAGGGGAAAAATAAGAGAGAGAGAGGGAAAACTGTCATGATTAATAGTATTGACAACATGTGCTAGAAAATGTCTTACTATTAAAGCTCTGAATTAGTCACTAAACAAGAAAATTACAAGCTAATTTAAGAACACAATACCAACCTGCAAACTAAACTCCAAACTGCCCAAGTAAAAATTACCAAACTCATGGAATGAATCAGCAAACTTGAATCAGCTTCCGCTAAAGAGAAAAAATAAGAGAGGGAAAGAAGAAACTATCATGATCAATAGTATCAACAACGTGTGCTGGAAAATATCTCACTATCAAAGCTCTGAATTAGCCACCAAATAAGAAAATTACAAGCTAATTCAAGAATGCAATACCAACTTGCAATACTGACCTGCAAATCAAACTTCAAACTATCCAAGTGGAAATTACTAAACTTACAGAATGAATCAGCAAACTCGAATCAGCTTCTACCAAAAGAGAAAAATAAGAGAGGAAACCATTATGATCAATAGTATCAACAACGTGTGCTGGAAAATATCTCATTATCAAAACTCTGAATTAGCCACCAAACAAGAAAATTACAAGCTAATCCAAGAATACAATATTAACCTGCAAACCAAACTCCAAACTGCCTAAGTGAAAATTATCAAACTCATGAATGAATCAGCAAACTTGAATCAGCTTCCACCAAAGGAGAAAAATAAGGGGAGAAATTATCATGATCAATAGTATCTACAACATATACTAGAAAATGCAAAAAAAATAAGAAGTGCAATGCAATCTTATATATTAAAAAATGCTATAAAAAAAAGGTACAGGTGCAGTTACAAATGTGATACTGGAAGATGCTGAAAAATAGGGAGCCAGAGATTATGTGATATCATGAAATATTTGATAATCAGATAAATTCTCTTCATGAAATCTGGATTACGGAAATAATGATAACAGTACTGAAATCATTCTTGAATTTTCACTCAGGATCATGTATTCATTCAAACTTAAATAGAGATAAATGAATTTTTTATTTTATTTGGATTTTTACAATAATAATGTTAACTTGAAATCTTTTTTTTATGATAAAGACCAATAGACAACTTATTCTATAGAAATTATTTGTGCACCTTTGCTTGAGATCATGTATATATAGATAAAAATGATTGCAAAGATAGACAAAAACTAAATATACTAAAATATATTGTCATAATTAATTATATAATATTTATTATTATAGTATTGTAGTAAAGCTAATAATAAAGCTATTATTTTCTTGACTTGACTAATTAAAGATCTGTAAAGTGTGTCATTACTCTGATATCAGTTATAATAACGTGATACAACTGAGTGCTGAATATTAGTTGGAAAATTATGTGACTGATACTTTTTTTTGCTGTGGCTAGGGTACTAACCATGAACATAGTTACTATTACCATTTTAAAATAATTATATATGTATAATCTTAAAATGATAATAATATAATAAAAATTATAAAAAAAGTAAAATTACTATCATCTTATATATAATAGTAATCAAAAATAATATAATATTTAAATTTTTTACTAATTATAATTAGTAAAAAATTTAAGTGTTATATTATTTTTTATTACTATTATATATATATTCTTATTTATTATTTTTACAAAAATTTATATATTTATATTATTAATTATTTTAATTAATATAATAATTATTAATAGCATAAAAAATTTATATTTAATATTTTTAATAATAAATTTATATAAAATTTTATTATATATTATATATTTAATTATAATTAATCTATAAATTATATATTTTTTATTAATTATAATTAATAAAATATATATATTTTTTTATATACATAGTCAATATCAATATAATGGATCACTCTATTCTGACTGTTTAGTCTGATATATTGACAGATCCAGTTAATCAAAATTTTTATTATATCAAATATTATTATAAAGAAAGAAAAAATCTATTATATTAATTCAAATTACTAGAGATTTATTAAATCATAATAATTAAAAATTAACTAAAAATTAATCAATGCTAGTTTATTTTTTTTCAGCTATATGTTAAGTAATAAATTCTTTTTATAACTTGACTAAATTATAATGAAAATTCATGTCAATATTCCATTCAGATTACTTAATAAATATAATAAGAGTTTCAATACTATTCAATACTTCACTAAGGGAAATTTTTTCTTCACTTTCTTCTTTGTCATCTTTTTTCAATCCTCTTCCAAGTATCACATTCACAATTTCTCTTATACTGATCTCTTCTTGCTCAATATTATCATCAATAGATATAAATTCACATACCAAAAGTAGTTCTGTGATAGAAAGCTATTGAATTAGTTGATCTAATCCATATACTAATCTTTACAATCTGATTTCTATTAGGTTAATAATCTCAACTTCTTTATTGAAAGCTGACAATTCAAATAAAAAGAAGAATAGAAGAATACCAGACCATGTCCAACTTTGCTTGATTATCTCTTTTATGATCATATCCCATGCATAATTGATATATAAAATGGCATCATGAATTGAAGTCTTTGGAAGTTAGCTTTCTTGATTAATTAATTTTTCATAGGTGACAATTTTTTCAGAACACAAAATCTTTTTATATTATGCCTTAATTGATAAGTTATATTAATAAAAAGTAATCATAAATATAATAATAAAATTATCTATCTTCAAACTGTACAATATTTCTTGATCCATAGGTTGAATAATTGAAGTAGTATTAGGAGGTAAAAAATGAACCTGGATATTTGACAATTCATTAATATTATCAGCTTGATGGCATGTCATATTATCCATTAAAAGTAGAATTTTTCGATTGATAATGCGCATTATGAAATTGAGCTAATTAAGATAATAGATCTTTGCATCCATGCTTTTGTGTTCCAATAGTATCACACTGGCAGTATAGATTTATTAATCTCTTTGAGAGCACGGGGTGTTTTGTATTTGTGGATAAATAAAATTGGTAATTTTTCATCTCCTGTTACATTTGCTGTGACAAGTAATGATACTTGGTCTTTTGGATGCTTCTTTCCTTTAACTGGATCATATGCTAGAGTTCAATTAGGTTCAAGCATCCAATATAATGCTGTCTCGTCACAGTTGAATATATCTTTGGGTTCATAGTCTTTGATTATGTCTTGAAGTTGCTGACAAAACTCTGGAATTTCGTTCATATCAACACTATCTGATTCACCACATTTTTTATAAGACTTCAAATTATTTCATCTCTTGAAATTCCTCATCCAACCCGTGGAAGCTAGAAGCTTATCAGAAACTTCAAATTCATTGGCAAATGCCAAGGCTTTTTCCATCAGCAAACCATCGCTCAAGTTTAAGTCATTTCATGCTAATACATTTTCCACCCA